ATCTAACTCAAGCAACAAGTGAAATGCTTCAGTAACACGGTGAAAAAGGATTCGTAATTTGACAAGGCAGATTCACGTTCTGCAAATTCCTGTTTTTCTTCAGTCTTCATTCAATCATATCTCACTCATTTTTCAACCAAATCATGCGTGGTTTGTTGCTAAATCTTCATTGAAATCTCCTCTAACGAATATAAGCAGCAAATCATCGAGATAACATAGTAACATCGATGAAAACGAGCTTACACAGAAACAACTCAAGCCACTCACCTCTGTTTCGGCTCAGATATGGTTTTGGCCGGATTTATTGCCGTTTTCTGGTCCGTCCCGACTGCCTTCGATTGCTCCGTTCTCACTCGTTTCTTATCCGAATTGAGCCCCGTTTGTTTCTACACCTTCCTTGGAACGTCCTCTTTCATGTCCAACCAATAGATTATTGAAAACTCACGTTTACACGAGGAGGCACAACTCGAAACGTCTGTACCTCGAATAAACCGTGAATTCCGAATTTCCAGGTTCTACTCAGTTTTCTTTTGTTCATAACTTTCTCGTTTCCTAGTCAAATCGAGTGTTGTTTTCTTCTAGATCTTCGTTGAAATATTCTCTATGTTTTTAGTCTTATTTTACCTTCCTTTTATTCTCGAAATTAATTTAAATAATTCGTACGGGAATCGGGGTATTACACGAATCATGTACTGGATTGTAGATAGTCAAGAATGGATTTGTACCTCTCATAAAAGAGAGAGATATCGCTGGGCCCCTCGTGTGAGCGAGACTGTAGAAATGTGTGGTCGCACTATAGACGAACGTCGTCTATTTAAGACAGTCGAACTCAGTGAGCGAGAAAGCAGTCGAATCAGATAAGGTGGCTTGTCCATACCTTATGTTCGACATATGATATCGTGATACAAAAAGATTTGCAACCGGAATCATCTCTGGCGTTCGTAAGATCACGAACAAACTCTATTCGAGATAGGTAGTCATAGTGTCTTGCTAGAGACCGCCTATGACTTGTATATCCGGAATAGAGATTTCGGATTATACTGTTATATCGAATGAGCCTACAGGGTCACACACGCAGGGAAGGACAATTGCACGGAAGAAAACGACGGAAAAACTAAGACGGAAGGGTCTGGAACGGACGGACCAGAAGTCCAGAACGGACGGTCCGCCGAGCCAGAACCGACGGGCCAGAA